TGGCACTGGCATTAAGCACCTTGTATCTGTGAAAAGAGCAAGAGGAAGATAAGGCTCTTTTTTCCCAACCAACAGACAGCAGCAACTCAACACCACCAGTTCATATATAGCTATATATATATAACAGTCCAGCCTGAATGAATCTATATGAATGCAATACCATTGCTTTTAATGACACTGAGAAGTGCAGTGCTCTTACCTCTGTTTGAAGTCAGCATAGAGGACTCTGCTGGGGAAACCTTTCCTGCAGATTCTGATGCCTTCCAGCACGCCATTACACCGCAGCTGGTGAAGTACCAGTTCATGCTCCATGGCACCTAACAATTCAGAGCACAAATGAATGCCACAGTTTCCAGTGCAGAGGGCAATGGTTGTACCAGAGGAAGTTCCCTTTCAGCTTGAGCATCTTACCAGGTGTTTTTGTTTCATTGGGGATAATGCAACGGACAAAATGGGGGTGAGTGCTCCGTAGATTCGTCATCAGCTTGTTTAAATTCTCCTAGAGGGACCAGTTAGTAAAATGAGACAATTTAAAACCACAGAAACAAATATTTATTATATTTGAAGATATTGAACACCATTTTTAAAGACTAAAATACTACTATGTTGCTACTGATCCACTGGAAACTTAATATACAATTTCACACTTTCACACAAATAACTTTTATATTTTATATATTCTGTCTTCTAAAGTAAATCTACTTAAGTTTAAAAAGCGAGTTTCAGTTCCCCAACATATCAACCTCGCAGAAAAACTAGTCTGACCCAAAGACATAAAAATATGAAGATCTGAATAATATCCTCTCTAAACAAAACAAACAAGAAAAAGTGTTAGATTTTCATGATCTTTGAAGACTGAATGCTTGTTTTTGAACACGACATATTAGCATACTGAAATTGACCCTGGAAAACTTGATGTGGAATTTCCAAAGGATTTTAACACTGTTACAGCAATCCAAAACAGTCCTTTCAAATCTAATATTAGCTCACCCCCTTTCTTCATATTACAAAGAGATAAAAAAGGCATTACTGTACCCGGAACAGAGCTGAGACAGTCTGGAAAGAAGAACCCTTCTTCTTGCCACCCTTTTTGCCACCACCACCCTCTGCAAATGGAAAAAAAAAAAAAAAAAAAATTAAAACAAGGATGTTGTAAATTGGCGACTACAGAACACAAAACAACTTTAAATGTCCAGTGTTTACTGCTTTCATTCTGTGTCAACATTGTCCTACATTAAAAATACAATTTTCAGAGAGCTGACCTGCATCTGCTCCACCATAGTTGGCAAAGAGTAAGGCCAGTGTCTTCACGGATGACTTCTGGTACAACCCAATGACAGTTTCATTCAGAGGGTCTTTGTTCTTCTCAAGCCACCCAGAGATGTTGTAGTCCACCGTGCCAGCATAGTGCACCAGGGAGAAGTGGGCCTCAGCCTTGCCTTTGGCAGGCTTGGGCTTCTGGAAGTTGCTGGACTTGCCCAGGTGCTGGTCATAGAGCTTGTTCTTGAAAGAGGTGTCAGTTGCCTTGGGGAACATGCACTCCTCTTCCAGGATGGAGAAGATGCCCATGGGCTGGGAGATATTACAACAGACCAGAGGGAGAAACAAATTAGAAAAGAGATGTCCCTTGGTTGGAAAGTTGCTGGAGTCAGAAGAGAAAGCTGTTCCCATGAATTTCATAAAAATAAGTCAGAGAAAATTAACTAAGGCTCAATATTTTTCAGTGTTGCTGTTTCATTTGAGGTCATGCAAATGCTTTCCTAATGAAAAAATTACAAATACGATATTGTGAAACACTATCATCGCCATGAAACTTCTTTACTGATGGGTACTTACAGAACATGACATCTTTTATGCAACTTCACTTTTTAATCTGAAAATGAATAGTCTCACGGAAAGTCCTGATATCTGAGTATGATCTCCAAAAACACTTCCACCCTGTTGCCATTTTCACAGTATATATACTTGAAAAAGCCAGAATATTCTCACGTTTCTTAAGTATGTCTCTTGGCAAGTATGGAAGATCCAACACATGATAGACTTGAACAGGAAGGATACCTTCTCAATGAGCTCAATGCAGGCAGCCAGGTCCATCCCAAAGTCAATGAACTCCCATTCAATTCCTTCCTTCTTGTACTCCTCCTGCTCCAGCACGAACATGTGGTGGTTGAAGAACTGTTGCAGTTTCTCATTGGTGAAGTTGATGCACAGCTGCTCAAAGCTGTTGAACTGCCAGACATAAAAAGACGTGCAATGTTTTCAAGATTCAGCAATAGTAAGAAGGTGTTTTCTTGGGCAATCGTAATTCACCATGGTGATACTTTAAATACAAGGCCTCTTCCTGTGTAGTTTTCCTGTGGTGTCTCTCTAGGATAGGCTTTGAATTTAGAAAAGTGAGAAGGTTTCAAACACAATGTAATTAGGAGATTAGGTTTTTTGTTTGTTTTTTTTCAGGATTAAAAAAAAAAAAAAAAGTTATTCCAAAAGCCTTGCAAATAAGTGTAGGAAGATACTAATTTCTATTAAAAATGTGTCTCAAATTTGTGTTTATTCTCAGTTGTCCTTGTATGAAAATGCTAGGAAAACCGTGTTCCTTACATCAAAGATCTCAAAGCCAGCAATGTCCAGCACACCAATGAAGTACTGTCTCGGTTGCTTGGTATCCAGCTGTTGGTTGATGCGAACAACCATCCACAAGAACATCTTCTCATAGACAGCCTTTGCCAGGGCACCAACTGCATTGTTCACCTAAAGCAGAGAAGAAAGGACCAGAGTTACCACCTAGGGTCCAAGAAGAATGCTCACATACTCTTTCAAGCCATGTATTTTCAGCCTCCAAATTTTACCTGTGACACAGTTTGACCTTTGGTCACAAATTCATTCCCAACCTTGACTCGGGGATAGCACAGGGCTTTAAGCATATCAGCTGAGTTCAGTCCCATCAGATAGGCAGCCTTGTCAGCCACTAAATACCAGAAAAGTGTGAGAGAGAAATAAATATTGGACAATTCCTAAAATTTGACCCCTGAGGGACTGTCTAAAAAGTAACAGCAATGTTCACTGTTACAGAGTTGCAGAAAAATATCTGATGCAAAGCTACAAAGATAATTTGTTTGTTGTCTTCAGGATTCAGAGTCCACAGCACGTTCTGAGCTTCAGTTTCTCTAAATGTTCTTCAAGAGAACTCATTGCTTTCCTCTTTTCAGGCATGACTATGCGACTTCTCACTTTCTTTCTTGTTAGTGGATTCATCACTCAGAGGGCTGGATTGTACTTCCTGCTGTCACAGAGACTAATCAAGCACATCTCACATCAGAGTTCCCCTCAACAGATGAGGGTGAATAAGAGCACAGTCTCCCATCTTGTTAGGGCTGAATGACTTCACTACTCCACAATGCAGCAGAGCTTGCGAGATGCATTCCAACTAAAGGATGACCAGTAATGTTACAGGAATTCACCCATGCCTCCAGGCTTCCTGACAGTGTACATGAGATCTCTTATTTATTAAGTAGTCACAAATAAAATTGCAGGTATCATTAGATGAGATACATGTCTCAACTGTCACGTAGCCATTGAATAAATATCTTTTTAGTTTACACTTTTGCATATTTAAAGCCTGAAATGTGCCTAAGCCTTTTTGGTGACAATCTCTTTTGGAAAGTTTGCTGAATCTGCTGATACCTTCTGTGCCATCTGGCTCTGCCTGCTCCTCTCGTTGTTTCTGCTTGAACTTCAGGTTTCCATAGTGCATGACAGCCCCTGTCAGCTTGTAGATGGCTGTCTTCTCATCAGCGGTGAAGCCCAGGATGTCAATGGCACTCTGGCAACAGAAACAGTAAAGTAAATGTATATGTAGTGGGGCTCCGATCTACCAGATGGCCTGTTTGTTAAGTGACTTACATCTGTAGCCATCAGCTCCTCCTTGTCATCAATGCTGGGAACAGTGATTTCACCTTGACTCACAAAGTGGAAATCATAAGGGTTGGTGGTGATGAGGAGCATGTCTGAAAGCAATAAAAGGGGGAAAACAGGCTTACTTTAGCTTTCCAGATGACACAACAAGATATTGTTCAGTGATCTTCCTTCAAAAATGTTAGTGGTCTTCCTACCGATTAGCTCTGGCTTCTTGTTGGAGGTGATCTGATAAAATATGTGGTAGCTTCTTTCTGCCTTGAGCTGGAAAGTGACTCTGGACTTCTCCAGCAGATCTGACAAGGACAGTGGGACAGAGTTAGCACAAGAACTGGGGAGGGTTACAAGGAATATGATCAGGCCAGGAGAGTCTGGCAAGGAAGGTAGAAAGAGTTAAGCTCAGAAAGGCACATGGTGGCGGCAATATAGGGAGGAATGGGACCAGGCCAGGAGAGCGCCTTACAAGTTTCAATGTCAGCAGAAGCCAGTTTGCCTGTGGCCCCAAAGTGGATTCTGATGAATTTGCCCTGTTAAGGAGAAGAAGAACCACTTCAGCCTGGATGGGTTCTCCCAACATCTTCTTTACGTGCAATACTGCTAGGGCATCATTTGTCTTGAGAGGGACAGATTTTGTCTGAAGCAACAACTTACAAAACGTGAGGAGTTGTCATTCCTCACAGTCTTGGCGTTGCCGAAGGCCTCCAGCAGTGGGTTGGCGCTGATGATTTGATCCTCAAGCGTTCCCTGCAGGATGATAATTATTCAGTTACAGTGTTCAGTTACATGGGAATTACATGGGAAGCGTTTACCATGTTCTTCATGACTCACCTGCATTTTGCCTGACTGCTGCTCCTCCTTCTTCTTCTCCCCACTCGCTGCAATTGTTGCAAAGTACTGGATGACACGCTTTGTGTTCACAGTCTTCCCTGCACCGGATTCTCCGCTGTCAAACCAACAAGAGAAGCAGAGAGCTGTGGTCAGGCAGGAGATCCCCTGGCACCGGGCAGCCCCGCAGGGATGCGAGCAGGGGGTGTACATACGTGATCAGGATTGACTGGTTCTCACGATCTGTGAAAAGATGGAGATAGCTTTTCCTAGCATTCATGAACAAAGTACATTTTTTCAAAGTTGAGTACACGGAACTCAAAAACTATGAGTAAAGTATGAATTGAATCTTCCAGAAGATGCAGGGACAGATGACAGTGAAAAGCCCTGGGAATTCTAGTGGGTACTTTTGATGCTTCCAGCAGTACTTTAGGTATTATCAACCGGATCACTTCCAGGTAGTTTTGTAGTCTTATGCCTTTCAAGATATTATCTTCTCATCAGGCTACTTATTTCTATTTTATTAGGTAAGTACAGGTAACAAAAATATTGAGGCTGGGCTTTCACAGCAAGTAAATTCTTCTGAAGCTAGAATTTTTCTGAGTAATGTTATGGAAATTTGGAGGCATCATAAAAATCAGAAACATCTAACCGACCTCTTTTACTATTTTTCATTTCTTTTTTTTTTTTTTTTGAACCCCTATATATAGAGAAATTATGTATTCCTGAGATCACATAGACAAGGTTAATTTTTCATTTTTCTACACTGGATTTATTTTCCAGTTAGTAGCAAAAGAACAGGAAAAGAAGATCTAAAATCCTGTGCATCTTTTTTTTCAATGTGCACATAGGGAAGAGAAAATAAGAGGTGGAGGGAAGAGGAGAAAGCGAAAAGAATTTTTTTAAAGCCATTCAATTTAAATGCTAAAAGATTCATTTTTTCCTTGACATTGTTTTCTGAGGTTTATTTTTCACTATTACATGCAATTGATTTAATGTTGCAGAGATCAGTGTAGGGGTTACATAGATAATTAAAGGCTGTATGTACTTTAGACCACTCACTCATCTTTTCCATCATGAATGCTATTTGCATAATAAGCAAGTGAAGCTTATGTACCCGTTCAACGCAGAAATACTCTGTTTTACTTATTAACACTGATGATTGCAAGTTTGAATTGACTGTATACACATCACTTATAGCGTACGTGTGATATTATTGTACTTTCAGGCTGAGACTAGTTTAGTGACAAAGTTACATAAATCTATGCATAGATGTCAGATCCCATTACAGTCAGTAAAGTCTACATCAGAAAATAGGTGTTCTCTTTCCAGCAAATTTTCTCCTTCTACATTATTTTCATTAGGTCCACATCTTTATTGATTCTAATGGGAACACAGACATTTAGCTCGCACAGGTCATTACAGTTAAGTGCATTAGTCTTCCATTAATTTCACACACACAATATTTTAAGTGTTGCGCCATATTTCCAGAGAATACTTTACATTTCCCTCTACAGATAGCTAATTGCAAGAGCAGTTCAAAGGAAATCAAGCACTCACCAGTCAGCATGAACTGATAGGCGTTGTCAGAGATGGAGAAGATGTGTGGAGGGGCCTCCTGGCGCTTCTTGCCTCGGTAGGCCAACACCACCTCCGGGTTGTACACCGGCAGCCACTTGTAGGGGTTGACAGTGACGCAGAAGAGACCCGAGTAGGTCTGCAGGGAAGGGAGACAGCACGTTGGCTTCCGCTCAGCCTGGCAGAGCAGTTCCTGCTGGCTGCCCAAAGGAAGGCTGCTGCTGGTACTTACGTAGATCATCCAGGCTGCGTAACGCTCTTTGAGGTTGTACAGCACAGCGGGTTCATGGAGGTGGGTCATCATGGCCATGTCCTCGATTTTATCGTACTTGGGAGGGTTCATGGAGAAGATTTGATCTTCCTTCACAGTCAGAGTCTGTCAGAGGAACGAAAGGTACATGCATGTAAACATAAGACCCCAGAGTGGGAATTTAATGCTGTTTGTAAATCTTTCATTTTGCTTACCTCCCCCC